CCTCCCTCCCTCTCCCTTCCTTCCCTCCCTTTCTCCCTTCCTTCTCTTCCTCCCTCCATCCTTCCCTCCCTTTCCCTCCTTCCTTCTTTCCCTCTCTCCCTCCTTCCTTCCCTCCCTCCTTCCTTCCTTCCCCCCTCCCTCTCTCTCTTCCTTACCTTCCTTTTCCTCCTTTTCTGTATCCATCTGCAAGGAATAAAAATATATTGATCCATAAATATCATTTTCCACCCCCTTACAAGTTGCACTGAATGTGGGGGGGGGGAGGAGACAGTTACCCCAATAACTCACCTCGTCTTCTTTGGGTGGGGGGTCTGGAATAGGGATATCCAAAGGAGCTTTCAGAGTGGTCAAATCTTGAAGGTTCAGTGAATTTTCCTAGATGGGCGGAGAAGGAGCGACACTTAAAAAAAAAAGCACGCAGAGATCTGCCCGTGAAACTTTGTTTTTAGACGTTCACTTACCTTAAGAAACTTATCCAACTGAAATATCTTTGCAGGTAAAAATGTGCAAAGAAATTCTTCACCCTGCAGGAAAAGAGAAAGAAAGAGAAAAAGAGAGAGAGAAGGAAAGAGGGAGGGAGGGAGGGAGGAAGGAAAGTTAGTTATCTGGGAAAGGGGAAAATATCCAATAATTGGTGAACAAGTAACGTTTGACATGCAATGGAGACTTACCTCTTTCAAAAGTGATTCTCTAAAGAGAGCCATCTAAAGCAATAAAAGGAAATTATGAGACAAATTGTAACCAACGTTGGAGCAGCCCAGAAAGATCACACAAGGTCTTTACTTTCCATGCTGAAAATTCTCACTAATTCCCCAAATGCAAAGAGAGTTTTGCAGGAAAACAAAACAAAAAAAACAATGAAATTGAAACTGGAAACACACGATAAACCCGAGCTATAGAACAAAGCAATCAAACTTGTTTTAAATTTAAACTTTAGGTTTAGAGCTGTATTGGAATCCTGCTGATCCACAGCCCCACCAAGAACATTTGGGGACTAGGCGAAACTCATACTTGGAAGGGATCTCTGAGGTCATCTAGGCCAACCCCCTGTTCAGCGCAAGGTTCCCTAAAGGATATTTGAGGGATACCACATTGCCTCTCGTGTCCGTAATGCAAACCAACCGATGGCAGTCGCAGCGTCCCCGGGGTTTACAACGATCAAAAGTCAGAAGCTTTTGGCCACTGTTTCATATTTATGACGGTCGCAGGATCCCCGGGATCATGCGATCCGCTTTTGCGACCGTGTGACAAGCTAAGTCAATAGGCGAAGCCAGATTCACATAACAACCGTGTTAACTAACTTAACAATTGCAGTGATTCATTTAACAACAGTGGCAAGAAATGGGGCAAAGCTCACTTAACAAATGTTTCGCTTAGCAACATAAATGCTCAACTGTCGTCACAAGTCGGGGACATGGTTGAAAAGGGTGCCGTTTGGCTTTTGGGATCTCCTTGTTTGTTCTACGTAATTAGCAGAAGTGGATAGTCTTCTCCTCGTACTGGGAATTTTTAAAATCCCCTCTACTGGAGGGATTTTGTTTTTTTTTTAAAAGAAAATCCCAAATAGAATTAGAAAAATTGACTTCCGGCCTTCCCTTTTTAACCCCCCCCAAAAATGCAAACACAGCATTGCTTGCATTGAACAGCAAAATTTCCCTTGGAAGTTTAACGCGAGCAATAAATCCCTTTCCGGAAAATATAATTTTGATCGAGAGAATAACAACTGAAACGCTTTTAAACAGTCTGGAAATATTGTTTGATCCCAAAAGGATGGGATAAGATTTCCCTTCGTTTCCAAAGTCGGTTCTTGCAAAAAGGGTTAATAGTTTGCAGCAGAAAATATACTGTAGTATTCTGGAAATTGGTTTGCGTGACTAGGCAGGGAAAAAAAAAGAGATTTTACAAGCAGAGTGATATGTCAGACTGACACTGCAATTCTGGATTGCTTCAGAAACGCCCCAGTGATTGATTCTCAAAGAACAAAGTCAGGGCGTAGCTAGCTAATCAATCGTGGCTAGAAACAAGAATTTGGCAGGGCTTTTCCCAGCTAAGAAATTTGACTAAACTTGGGCTTCTGCCTTTTATTCAAATTATTCTTAATTTCCAGGCAAGTAATATTCAGTATTTAAGGCACCCTTTCTCAACTTTGGCCTGTTTTAAGATCTGTGGACTTCAACTCCCAGAATTCCCCAGCCAGCAGGGCAAACATCAGGAAGGAGTTCTTGACAGGAAGTGCTGAAGAGGTTACCGCAGGGGTCTTCCAACTTGGCCCTTTTATGACTTGTGGACTTCAACTCCCAGAATTCCTCAGCCAGAATTCTGGGAGTTGAAGTCCACAATCTTAAACTAGCCAAGACTGGGGGAAAAAACTGGTTTAAAGTTCCCCAATTAGTTTCTATTCCTCGTCCTTTCCCCCAACTCTTTTAAAAGTTGGGTCCCAGAAACCCCACACCCCGTTCACACGTGAATTAACGACACCGATCCCCTCTTTTAAAATAAAATAAAATAAAAAAAACCCCAAAAAGTCGCAATGTTTTGTTACAATGCAAACAAACAAACAAAATGTTATCTTTTTTTCTCCTTTTCCTGTGGATCTTTCCAGGCCTCCAGCTGACAGCCCACAGAGGGCTTCTCGCAACCGCGATTCGATCCCGCACCCCGACCTTCCCACGGGACTAGCAACTTGGAAAGGGGCGCGCTCTGCACGTGCTCAGAGGCCGGTAACCAGAGGTCCGTGGCTGGGGCTGGACCCTCCTCCCCCATTTATTGATTTATTTTTGCAAACTTGCCTTGCAACCCTCCCATTGCGACTCCGTCCCCGTTCCCCCATTCACACGTTCTTCCCCCCCCCTCCTCACCTTCACGCGCGTCTCTTTGGCGACACGGATGTTGGCGGTGCAGGATTTGGCCATGGTGTCCGGGGTGCAGAGCTGGGCCGCGGGGGGGAAGACTCGCTTTCGGCTGGCCGCGAAATCGATTTCGCTTTCACATTCCCACGTTCCGTTCCGGCCTCGCCCCTCCCCTTCCCTCCCTTTTCCCCTCCCCTGGAGGAGTGGAGGGGAGAGGTTGCATTCCCACACCTCGTGTCCTCCTCTCCCTCTTCCTCCTCCTCTTCTTCTTCCTCCTCCCCCGTGCACGCCGTTCCCAC